CAGCTTCACCATCTCTGAAGTCTTAGCGAGAATCCTCCTGAAAACAGTAAACCCTGCCATCACATAGTGTCTCCTGTTATACTACACAAAGCACATTACAGAGAGTGAACACTAAAACAGGCCTTCTCTATCCAGTCTGTATTTATCCAACCTATTTTTATGTTACCCAAGTAATAGCTTTTATATCCTTTTACTCATGCACGAATTAATTGCTCAGCCTTATTGTATTACTACTACTACTACAACTTTTGTCACTACTACTACTACTACCACTAGTATTGCACCTCACTCTGAGCCTTTATATACCCTCTGTGTCCATATACTGTTTGTATCGGCTTGACAAAGCTCCTGGAGAGCGAAACGTTGCCACAATAAAATGTCACATTAGTTGCACTTGTGTCCTTTTACTTTACATATTGTCGGTAATTCTACCAACATTATTACATGACCTATGCTGACAAAATTCTCCTTCACCTGACATGTTATTCTTAAATTTTATCTGACATGTCACTTTTAAATTTTACCTGACATGTGACCTGACTAGAAACTTCAGAGCAGCGGAAATGTATCTCCCACGCTCATTAAGGTCACATATGAGGACATATGTGAGATCACATCTATTCTTTATAGATCTGTTTTTTCTAGCATTTGCTGTTCCTTGATACTGTGAGAAATAATGAAAAAACTTGGAATATTACTACTTTTCACTATAGTTATCTTGCATATTAAGATATCACCTGTTTCCTGCGATCTTATTGCATCACTGAGCTGACATATTGACCTTTTCTACAGTCCTGAATATGGGATTATTATTATTTATGTGAATGGCTAGATCCATGTGTCAGTCAGTAGGAGTAGTGGAGACTCGACCCTCTGTCCACCTATCGTGGCTCAGTTTCTGAGCAGTCCAGGTGTCGTTAATTGCCTTACACAAGGGAGTACATGGGGAAGGCAACATCAGGAGACGCCAGGCTTGAGGGTAAAGCCTAAAGGAGTAATTAACTCCTACCAAGGCTGAGAAACTGATCTGCCAATGTTGAGGGTCTGATGACCTCCTACCAGTGTTGAGGGATTGATGACCTCCTACCAGGGTTGAAGAACTGAACACCTGCTACCAACACTAAAACACGGATTACCTCATAACTGTTACTACTGCCTTCAGTGTTATATTCACCTGTATTAAGCTGAAGAAGCCTGTTGCACAGGAACAGTGTTTCAGTAATAAAGACACCCAAGTGATGCACATGTATGTTATCGAGGCTGTCTTCTGAGATAGACAAATTACGCTATCTAGATAAATGAAGTTTCAGGGGCGTTGACCCCCGAACCCTCTCCAGGGAAACTCCAGGTATGAGAGCAAAACAGAATACCTCATGATTACTAGGAAGAAAACAGAATGTTAAATGCAATCATGCATTTAGTTAAATTACATGATAGTAACATGAAAGGAATGTTAATAAAATTGATAAACATTCGCAAACAGAGACGTGCAGTAAGTTCTCACTTAACGTCGTTGATGGTTGGAATCTGCAGCTAAGCAATACGACGTATAGCGAAACCAATTTTACCATAGGCTAATTGATATAAACATCAAGGGGTGCACAGGGCGCCTTTAGCACTCATTGCAACAGGTTTAAATCAAGGAATAATTGTTTATAAAGAGAAAATTGTAAGTAGCGCCACCTACCACCATGTAGTTCAACAACGAACGTGCAAACTCCCTCCACATAGACAGTGGCTCCGACCGGAAATCGATTGTTTCTCATCAACGTTATAATGAAATGACGTTGAGCGAAACGACGTTAAGTGAGTAATTACTGTAATTGGGGAAACTACAAGCTAAGTCAGAGATACTGAATAGAAGGATAATAAGTATATCCAATGGTTAGAATCATAATTATTAGGAGGGTGGGAGGGTTAGCCAGCGGAAGGCCTCGGTCAGATGACTAAAAGCTCCAGCTGAGGGTCATCATATGAATAAGACCCACCTCAGGAAACACTTGTCCTGTTTCCTGACAAACCTTACCTAATCTTGAAGGATAAGACTGAACGAGTGTCCCCAGAAACAGTCAAGAAATGAAACAGGCAAGGCAACAAATCTGACCTCATAAAAGTAGTGGACAGATATTTTAATGAATATTAAATAGGTTCAAGCTGGGCAAATTTTTATTCAAAACGGGTGTAGGAAAGTAGTGGTTTGGCAATAGAGTTGTGGATATATGGGAGGAACTCCCAAGCAGCGGCATTAAAGAGGACTTTGCGCGGCTTTAAAAATAAGAACATAAGAAAATAGGTTGGAAAGGTACACGAGTGATACAGAAATGGAAGTAAAGAAGAAAAATAAATACTAAATACTACAAGGTCAACAAATATATCACGAGGAGAAATGTGGATCGAATTATATTATGATTCATGAATTATCTGAGCCATTAGGCTACAACACAGCTCAGTAAAAACTTGAGGAATTGAGCTTCTTGTGCAAGACGCTAGCCCAGATCAGTCCAGTTGGGTTACACCAGTCTACTTGCTAGAGTCTTCTTGTCAGATTGCGTTCACCAACAGCCTGGTGGATCAGAGACTAGGCTGCTTTGAGGTAACAAGAGGCTCAAGCCTTCTCCAATCCTTCCACTGAATAACATACACAAACTACCATCACCAGTCTCCTACCACCATCACCACTGCTACCACCATCTATTATCACTAGCTGGTCTAGTGGCTAACGCGACGGGCTGGAGTTTTGAGACTCTATGACCGCGGGTTCAATCCCGGCCGGGGGTATGGTTTATCACCATCACTAGTCTCTTACCACCATCATTATTCTACTTCCACCACCACCAGTCTCCTAGCACTAACTCCACCTCTTCCCCCTTTCCATTCTTTCAACTTCCTGCCACAAAGGCCCCTTAAACCACCACGCCTCCACAACCATTTCTCTCTATCCCCTTTTCCACGTCATCCACTATCCACAAAACCATCAACCATCATCCATAGACCATCAGCCACTATCCACGGACCATCGACCGTAACTCGATGGCTAGCGCACTCAGCTCACACACTGAGGTCCGTGGTTCGATCCCCGGTACGGGTGGAAACATTAGGACGTTTCCCTAAGACACCTGCTTTCCATGATCACCTTGCAGTAAAATAGGTACCTGGGTGTTAGTCGACTGGTGTGGGTCCCATCCTGGGGACAAAATTGACCTAATTTGCACGAAATGCTCTGCATAACAATTCGGCTTTCTATATAGTAGTATGTCATTGATATCAACTATGGTCTGTATAACTTGTAGAATAAAGATTATTGTTATTATTATTCACAGACTATCAGTCACCACCCACAGACCAACCAAGACTCCCACATTCCCACACCCAAACGCACACAGTACCCACCCTCCCCCCGGAGATACCATGTCATGCTCTCTTTTTCCCTCCCACCGACAACCCTCCCACCGACAACCTGGCGGCTACAAACAGGTTGATAGCAAGCTAAGCCACGTCCAGGAGCTGAGATTTGACCCCCCTCTCCCCAGCGAAGACAAATCGGCAAGTACCTACGCATATATAGGCATTCCGTATCCAACACTTTTCCATTTCTCATTTTCATTTTCCATTTTGTCAAGATAATATCTAATAACATATTACCTATTTTGATTTGGACAGAAGTTTTCACATCGCTTTAACATTCACCAACAGGCTGATTGGTCAGACGGCCGCGACTGATGGAAGGAAAATCGAGCCTTCACCACTCCTTGTGCTGACTGACTTAAGCCAGTTATAATAATAATAATAATAATAATGATAATAATAATAATAATAATAATAATAATAATAATAATAATAATAATAATAATAACTTGTTATTTCTACAGTACATGTACAAGGTAGACAGACCATAGTTAACATCAGTACTACAATATAGAAAGCCGCTTGTTATGCAAAGCATTTCGGACAAATTAGGTTAATTTTCTCCGCAGGATGCGACCCACACCAGTCGACTAACACCCAGGTACCTATTTTACTGCTAGGTGAACAGGGACAGCAGGTGTCTTAAGGAAGCACGTCTTAATGTTTCCACTCGTACCGGGGATCAAGCCATAGACCTCAGTGTGTGAGCTGAGTGCGCTAACAAACGAGCTACGGGACACATCTCTTGGCATAGAGCCAGTGGCGGGCCTACATTTTGGGACCCCTGAAGATTGAACTGTTATGGGGTCTTGTTCGCAACGAGCGACATCTAGCCTACATAATATTTTAACCATTATTTTACATTGAATTACACTTTTATTATTATTATTATTATTATTATTATTATTATTATTATTATTATATTAAAAAACCTCTTCTCATTTAAGTAATGCGGACTAAAGTCGCTTTTGGGGGCCCCTCCGTGATTAAGGGCCCTGAAGCTTAAACTTCATTAAAAACCATACCCCCGGCCGGGATTGAACCCGCATTACTTTCGTAGTAGATCCGCTCCTGCATAGAGCCTTGAAAAAAGGGCATAAGAATGTTAAACTGTTGCTTTCCTCACATTCTTATGACTGTTGTGAAGGTTCTCTGCAAAGAGGTGTTATTAACTCAGTGATGCATTCGCCAGGAAACTGGACAGGTGTCTCCTGACGCGGGTGTTAATCATAGAGAGGACCCGTACTCGGCGTTGCGAGGTAGGGATCACATGTGGGGGAGTGCTACTGAAGGGTAAGTTGTTGGCTCCCTTGGTGTTATAACTATCCGTTGTCACACTTGATACCACTTCGATATATATATATTTTTTTCTCTTATAATAAGTTAACGAGTAATTTTCAAACGAGACTTTTCTTCAGTCCACCAATAGGTCACGAGATCTTAACTTCGTTCATAATTAAGTAAGTAAATTTTGCTTTCTTTGCCCATAATGTATTTTTTCACGAACACTTGTTTGAATTAATTCACTGTTTTGAAATGAAGCTTATTTTTTTCACTACCACAAGAAGAACAATTGTTTCTTTTCATAAACTCACTGGGCATCTGGGTACTTTGTTGCCCACCGCTGAGGCAGACGAACGTGTGGAGGCTAATGGTGATACCCGTTCTCGCGTCCAGCGAGAGAGCGAGTGTTGCCCGGGGTATGGCAGGTGTGGAAGACTTAAACAAGTGTAGCAGGTGACAGGTGTGGCTAGCACAGCCAGTTACTAGGAACACCCACGGCGGACACACGGGGAATACTGGAGGTGTGCTTGAGAATGATGCAGTTACCCCTTCTTTCCCAGCCACCCTCACGTCCGCAGTTCCCCCTTCCTCACTGGCTAAATATCTCCTTAACTTATCATCCTCCCTCCTCCGCGTCCTATGCCTCCTCTTCCTCCTCCTGCCTCCAGACCTCACCTTCATACTACCGCCCTGGGCATCCACTTACCTACCGCTTTTTACGTGTTCGGTGACTGCTCTCTTCATTCTTTTCCTCTTCAAATTGCTCATATTTTCCTCTTCCTTTTCTTGCTCTTCTACATGCACCACTTCATTTTTTCATTACCTTTCCTCCCCATCTTTCTCATCACTATCATCGTTGTCTCTGAGCATTACCAAAACATCCCACTTATTACTAGTACCACTACAACTACTATTAATACTACTACTACTACCACCACCATTACAAATACCCCTACAGCAACAACTACTACTACTATTGAATATTAAAATGGTATAAAATACCGACAGGTTGTTAGGTAAGACACAAATGCAACAGTTAGGTATCTTTATTTCGAAACGTTTCGCCTACACAGTAGGCTTCTTCAGTCGAGTACAGAAAAGTTGATAGAAGCAGAAGATACTTGAAGACGATGTAATCAGTCCATCACCCTTAAAGTTTTGAGGTGGTCAGTCCCTTACGTGTCCCTTATGTGTCTTACCTAACAACACTACTACTATTGCTACTACTACTACTATTATACACAGGCTAAGCATTACACACGCAGACTCAGATTTATGGAGACACATGCTTATAGTTATACACAAACACTTTGAGTTAAAACACACAAGCTTCGAGTTATAGAGACAGCGTTAGAGTCGAAATAAACACTTTAACCTTTAACCTCAGCCAGACAGCTTCAAGACTTTTAACAAGAAGTTGAATTCATGAACTGGGTCATGAAAGTGCTCATCATGGATTGAAGGGCATATGATGATTACATATATATGATATACCTTTGACGTCTGATATGTTCTGAGACTTCTGACTCACGTATAAGACGACCATCACAGGCTTGTCCACACTTGTCGCACTCCTGCTCAGTGGTGGATCTGCGTTTTTGGGGCCCTGAAGTTTGAACTACTATGGGGGCCCCTACGCAACCAGCAACGAGGTCTGGGGATTGAATTACGCTATATTATTAATATTATTATTTTTAAAACCCATTCTCATAAGTAGATCAAAAATTTTTTAAGCAATGTGGACTAAAGTGGCTTCTGGGGCCCATCCAGGATTAGGGGCCCAGGACCGAAACGTTTTTTTATATGTCTTTCTAAACCACATTGTGTATGTGATTAAAACTCGTGTTAGGAAACACTTGTCCTGTTTCCTAACGAGTAAAGCAACAACAACGAATTGAGAGATAAGGTTAGGTCAGGGAAGGTTTGTCAGGAAACAGGACAAGTGTCTCCTGTTGCGGGTCATAGTCATATAATGACCCACAGCAGTTGGAGGTTTTGGTCATCTGACCAAGGCCTTCCGCTGGCTTACCCCTCCACCCCCTTAAAAAGTGTGGTGATATTTATAACCATTAGGAGATAAGGACAAGAATGTACTCACTTAAGAAGAAGAACATAAGTAAGAAGGAACACTGCAGCAGGCCTACTGGCCCATGCGAGGCAGGTCCAATTCTCCTACCGGCTTAAGCCTTTGGGTGTTTGTACTGTAAACACTTTAAAACAAAAAAAAATAAATTAAACTCGGAAGCATAAAAAACAGGCGGCGAAAACACAAAAACAAAAGCTTACATAGTATAATGTGGATAGATTGTGAAAGTTAGAGGGAGTATGCAGGCATGAGCGCACAAACCTTTACTGCTAACTACCACCGCTGGTGAAGGCTCCTAGAATTCAATCTGTGATTTTCTTGGCTTCTGATCAGTTTGCTTTACTGAGTTCCCCGAACAATGCGTCACCTGACTTGATTAATACCAAGTTTCCCTAATTTTACGAAGGAGTTCAAACTCGATGAACAGTAATTGATAGCTTGGCTGTCTTGCAATTACGGGACAGTGGCAGTGAAGACATTGGTAGAAGAATATAATTTCAATAAAACTTTTCGCCCTGTTCGTTTAAGTTAAGATAAGATAAGATAAGATTTCGTTCGGATTTTTAACCCCGGAGGGTTAGCCACCCAGGATAACCCAAGAAAGTCAGTGCGTCATCGAGGACTGTCTAACTTATTTCCATTGGGGTCCTTAATCTTGTCCCCCAGGATGCGACCCACACCAGTCGACTAACACCCAGGTACCTATTTGCTGCTAGGTGAACAGGACAACAGGTGTAAGGAAACGTGTCGAAATGTTTCCACCCGCCGGGAATCGAACCCGGGCCCTCCGTGTGTGAAGCGGGAGCTTTAGCCACCAGGCCACGTTGTATTGGAAGATCTCTCTGCTACTAGTCTCTTCATTTCCACTTGGGTTTTGTTAGTCTACCCAGCGGACATAATATAATAATCTTTATTTCTGCAAGCATATGTACTGTGTATACAGACCATAGCTGACATCACTGACATACTATATAGAAAGCCGCTTGTTACGCAGAGCATTTCAGGCAAATTAGGTCAGTTTTGTCCCTAGGATGCGACCCACACCAGTCGACTAACACCCAGGTACCTATTTTACTGCTAGGTGATCATAGACAAACGTTGTCTTAAGGAAATACGCCCGAATATTTTCACCCGTACTGAGGATCGAACCACGGACCTCATTGTGTGAGCTGAATGCGCTAGCAACCAAGCTACGGGATCGACCCTTGACTGCATAACTCACAGGCACTCAACGCTTCACATATGAAATGATATGCCTGTATTTTTTTATATATCCTCCGCTCGCTTTAAGTTGGCGTGTGTGAGAGTGAGTACATATATGGAAAATGCAGACAGCAACATTATCCACAGGCTGTGTCGAGCAGAGAAAATAGCCACGTATAAAGATACAAAGATTAAACATCCTCCCCTCCACCTGTCAACTGCAACAACCTCTCTCTCTCTCCTGTTGCCTACTTTCTCTTGGGCCTTGTCGCCAGACTGTGACCTGTCTGGGTAGGTCAACGTGGTCAGGTCACAGTGACGGGGACACTGACCAGACCCGATAAGGCGAGGACGATTTGATCGGGTCACAGCTACCAGAATAGGCCCAGGAGGTTGAGAGATAAAGTGAACATTGTATGCAAGCCACAAGACGACAGAAAGGAAATGAAAAGAAAATGGCAGCAAGAAGAAAAGGGGTGAAAGGTTAAAGATAAAGACAATATGAGAGGAGGAGTTAAAGGGGGGAGTAAAGAAGCGCCATATAAAGAGAGGGAAGAAGATAAAGATGCAAAGAGATAAGAGAGAGAGTTAAAACCTGTATACTTCCCTACCCTTCTGCCTCCTTACCTCGTAGCCCACCTGTTTCAATCTCTATCCACCACTGTCACTATATCCACCACTACCACCACTACCACCACGACCAACACCATCTCCACCAACACTATCACCATCACTACAATTATCACCGCTATTACTTCAACCACTACCATTAGGACATATACTTCTGCCACTTTACCACCACCATCACTACCACTCAAGTTTCCACCACCACTACCACTCACGCTATCATAAGTACCAACAACCACTCACGCTACCACCACCATAAAACCACACTACCAGCACTCCCGTTGCTACCACCAACACTCACACTACCACCACCACCACCACCACCACCACCACCACCACACCACACTACCACCACCACCACCGCCACCACCACCACCACACCACGCTACCACCACCACCTCGTCATATAACACTCACCTGTCTCTGGGATTCCCTAACATTCAAACTGGAAAACTCCAAATCTGAGAGAGAGAGAGAGAGAGAGAGAGAGAGAGAGAGAGAGAGAGAGAGAGAGAGAGAGAGAGAGAGAGAGAGAGAGAGAGAGAGAGAGAGAGAGAGAGAGAGAGAGAGAGTGTGTGTGTGTGTGTGTGAGTGAGAGAGAAGACTCTTCCTATCTAATTTGTCTAGATGCTCGAGGCCACGATCGTAAAGCTCTCCCTACCCTCCACTCCGGCAATTGCAGTCGTGAAACAATGGGGAAAAAATCGAAAAATCGGCATAAATATTTTGCCAGAAAAGTTAAAAATAGGAGGATGAAAGGACGACGTTTCGCTCCAACTTGGACCATTAACTAGTTACACCGTGCGACTAGTTAATGGCCCAAGTCGGGCCGAAACGTCGTTATAAATTTCATTCTCTTGTGTGCGGATTATTTGCGTATTATTCCAGTCACGGTATTGTGCCTTTTTGTTCTCCAGAACTTAGTATACGGCCTTTGTGCCTTTATCCACTGTGTCGCCATTTTATACCATTTCTTCCCATGGATGAAAGATGTCCATTTGCCTCCTTTCATCCATATATACTAATTTCCGTAATGTATAGTCACTTCTGTCCATGGATACTCTGAGAACCTTGAGAACAAAGGTATATCAAGGGTACCTTGTGTAGTTTGGGATCTGCTGCAGGAGTACCGGTGGCCGGCACCTGGAGTCGCTTCTGCAGAAGTACCGGTGGCTGCTACTTGGAGTCGCTTCTGCAGAACTACCGGTGGCCACTACCTGGAGTCGCTTCTGCAGAAGTACTGGTGGCTGCTACATGGAGTCGCTTCTGCAGAAGTACCGGTGGCTGCTACCTGGAGTCGCTTTTGCAGAAGTACCGGTGGCTGCTACCTGGAGTCGCTTCTGCAGAAGTACCGGTGGCTGCTACCTGGAGTCGCTTCTGCAGAAGTACCGGTGGCTGCTACCTGGAGTCGCTTCTGCAGGAGTACCGGTGGCTGCTACCTGGAGTCGCTTCTGCAGGAGTACCGGTGGCTGCTACCTGGAGTCTTCTGCAGGAAATACCGGTGGCTTGCTACCTGGAGTCGTTTTTTCAGAAATCCGTTTGGGTGCTACCGGAGTCTTCTGCAGGAGTACCGGGGGGCTGCTACCTGGGGTCGCTTCTGCAGGAGTACCGGTGGGGTGCTACCTGGAGTCGCTTTCTGCAGGAGTAC